TTTTTATTACTATTTAATGTTTCAGAAACAATGTTATTTGGTGACAGGGAAACAGACTACATGAGAAGATTCTTCATTCAAATAGGGATTTTCACCCACCAAGCCTAGCGTGGCATACCCTGTGAATGCTCGAGATCCATGTCCCGGTGTTAGTTCTCGCTTCACGCACAGAGCGGACGCTGAGACCCAGGGCTCCGAGACCCAGATGCACAGCTCTGTTCAAGTTCTCTCAAAAACCCACCAAACTCACTGCCATCGAGGTGATGCCGACTCATCGCCGCCCTATAGGACAGGGTGGAACTGCCCCTGTGGCTTGTAACTCTTTACGGGAGTACAGCACCTCATCTTTCTCCCACAGAACAGCCGGTGGTTTTGAACTGCTGATCTTGCGGTTAGCCGGGCAGCACATAGCCCACTATGCCACTCCTTTCAGCCTCTGTAGAGCGTGGTAAAGGGAATAGGAATACATTGTTACCATTTTTAGATTCAATCCAGTGATCTAAGTATAGATGATTTCCTTAATTTTTTTCTTTATAAAAAGGTCTTTACTGTCCACTTCTAGGGACCCTGGTGGTGTAGTGGTTGTACATTGTTCTGCTAACTGCAAAGTCAGCAGTTGAAAACCACCAGCTGCCAAGCTGGAGAAAGACGGAGCTTTCTACTTGGGTAAATAGTTACAGTCACAGAGACCCACAGGGGCAGTTCCACCCCGTCCTGTAGACTTGCTACGAGAGGTCATCGAGTCGATGACAGTTAGTTTGGTTTGGGACCACTGCCAAGAGAACACTGAGTGTACATCGCCATGGGTAATCCCTTGGAGTCTGTGCATTATAGACAATCCTGGGCAGGTCCTCCAGACAGTGTGAGGAAATCAGTGGTCCTCGTGGTCCAGTGTCGCTACACCAGACATACCCCGAGTGAGGGGTATTGCTATAATACTCAGACGTTTATTTTTGTCACCTAAACTAAAAGGCTGGAAGTCTGAATTCAGGGCACTGGCTGTAGCTGTGGGCTTGCTTTCTGTATTGACTTTGTGAAGGTCTTTATCCCTGTTCACTTTTTACTTCTTCATTTCTGGTTTCTTCTTAATCTTGATCGGGTGTCATCAAACTTTTGAGACGGAAGGACCAATCTTGCCCCTCACAACCATTTAAAATTATTTGAGAGCCATAAACATATTTTTACAAACAAATGACGTCACCATTATTTGAATAATATCCTTTAAAAGATTTTTAGTTTCACTTCAGAGCCACATATGGCTCAAGAGCCGCAGGTGACTGGCCCCTCAGCTGGGTGGATGTGGAAGGCCATCTCTCGCTTCTTCCATCTCTGCTAGCTTCTCTCCGCCTGAGTTGCTTGTTCTCTCTGTCAAAGACTTACCCTGCACAGAGGTGGTCTCTTTAACACACCAAAGAAACCCTTTTCCCAAATAGGATTATAGCCATAGGAATAGGGGTCATGATCCCTGCCCCCCAAAAAAGCCTCCCTGCCATCGAGTGGATTCTGACTCATAATGATTCTGTAGGACAGAGTCGAACTGCTCCTGGGGGTTTCTGAGACTGCAGCTCTTTACAGGAACCGCATCTTTCTCCCTCAGCGAGGCTGCTGGTTGTGAGCTGCTGCCCTTGCAGACGGAAGCCCGGCACGTAACCCTCTACACCACCACATGTATTTCTGGGGGACACAATTCAATCCATAACATCAAGATGGACAGTTCTCTTTAAAGTAGAAGTTACTAAAACCTAATTTGACCACATTTTCTTTGGGTACATGTCACTGGGTTTCCAGTTGTACAAATAGATTTTTGTGCCAAATATCCATTGATTTGAACTTACTGTACAGGCTTTTTAAAATAAAAAATTCCAGGAACAGATAGATAGGAGATTTTATCCCTGAACCATTTGGGGGCGGGGGTGGGCAGCTTATGTAAGAATGTGTAATACAGATTGCAGAACGGTGAATTTAACATTCTTGTAATGCTTCATGAAAGCCTTGGGATAACTGACATTTTTTTTTTTAACAAATTCATTTTTATCAAATTGAATGGTTTCTAAATCCTTATCTGCTTATTAAATGAAACATTAATTAGAACAGTAATTGAGTAACCAGCCTCTGTGTTCACTCTTGGTACCTGTATAAAAACATTGGTTTTCATGTACGGCCATTCATTGCTTTTTGAATTGCCAAACATTAACTTTGCTACAGGCTTCTCAAAATCCAGGTATTAAGGGAGTCTACAGGAAGATAAAATTTGATAATTTTGTGAAAATTAAGATTTGCAATAGTTAGTCTGATAATCTCCCTCCAGTGGATTAGGATGTGACAATATTTCAGCATCATAGATGGGAGGAAATCCCCCTTCTTAGATTTCTTCCTGAAGCAGCTTATGCCTGCACTTTCTTGCAGTAGAGCAAATGAAGCCTTTCGAACAAGGTACACTGGCTTCAAATATATACCAACCCATTATCTCTTTGTGACATTATCTATAGTACACATCTCTCAAAGCTCAATTAAAAAAATTATGAAGTGGGGATAATAACCCTCAAGGGGATTGGGTAGTGCCACAGAAATAGAACCGATAAAGGTCCCTGCCCTCGTGGATCTTAGATACAGTCTAGTGTCACCTAACATCTCAGTAACACTGTGAAATAGGATGTTCTGGGATTTAGACATTGTGTGAGCCCTGCGTCCTAACCTGTCTGGCTTTGTCTTTAAGCTTCTCCGATTAGCTGTGTGCCTTAGCAGCGACTGTCAATGTGCTAAGAGGGATTCTTTTTTTGTGTCAATCCAGGTCATTAGCAGTGTCTCCATTTCTGATACAAGCCCCTCCTGCATCTTCATTAGCTGTGTAGCTTTCAGGGGAGAGCTGATCCTTTAACAGCTTGGAAAATTATTAGTTTGTTTTGTTGTTGAGAATTGTCATGATTGTTGAGTAGCCTTCACTGGTTTTCCACCTTCATGTTGTTTAATGACCTTGTGTTTCATTTCCCAATTGATGTTTCGCCTTCGAGTCTTGCTGCTGCTATTTCTTGCACCAGTTTTGCTGTGTTTGGGTGCACTTCACCATAATGTTGTTGAAAGAAAATTGGAGCACTTATGCTACAGCCCCCAAGAGATGTCTGATATGTGAGATTCAGTGCAGTGCTTATGAGTCAAAGCATGTCCTGTACTACAGTAAACCTTTTAGCTTGTAAGTACAATACATACGAAGCCAGTCCAACAAAAGAAAACAAAAACCAAACTCACTGCCGCTGAGTTACTGCCTACTCATATCGACGCTATAGGACAGCTTAGAACTGCCCTGTGGGTTTCTGAGACGCTAACTCTTTATGGAAGTAGAAAGCCTTATCTTTCTCTCAAGGAGTGACGGGTGGTTTTGAGCTGCTGACCTTACATTTAGCAGCCCAACCACTATGCTCCCAGGGCTCCTTGAAGACTGTAATAGAGGTGTTTATTAGGACCATCAAGACCTAAGTGCGTACTGTAGGCGGTGTACTGGCTGCACAGTCACTTTGCGTGTAAGAGACACGAGACACATATTTTGTGTGCAGAAAGCTGTGGCATTTGTTACCTCCCCTCTCCCATAGTGATTTCTAAATTCTTTTGGAATCTTCTGAGGATGCTGGTGGCATTACCAGGTAAGTATTGGGCTGTGAACCGCAAGGTGGAGCGTTTAAACCTACCAGCAGCTGCGAGGGGCAAAGATGAGGCTTTCTGCTTCCATAAAGATTTATAGCCTCGGGAACTCTCTATAGGGCTGTGAGTGGGAATTGACAACACCCGTGGGTCTGATGTTTTGGTTTATTATAGCCTCGTAGGACATGTAAGTGGCTGGATGTTGCCTGAGCAGGCAGTATACAGCACAGGGCTCTTATTGAGGAAAGCTGTCTTACACAGGGTGATCAGGGCATCTCTCAAAAGTGACCTTTGATCAAATATACCCTGACTTGAGCCAGGTGCAGCTTAGTCCTCTAAGTGGTATCGTTACTTCTGCTTCTGAATCTTTAAAGAGGTCTTGTGCAACAGATCTGCCCATCATTTGATTTCTTGACTGCTGTTTCCATGGGTAAATTTATACATGTATTAAAGGGACAAAAACATTAATAAAAGAGCATTCTTCTAAGGGGAAATTATTTTATTTGCCCAGAGGCAATGTTGGGAATGGACTTAGCAAAAAGTTAACCAGGCAGATGCCTCTTCCAAGAAAGAATTACTCTATTGTCCATTCCATTGATAGAGTAAACAAATAATCTAATTAAATTTAAATGATACTTTATTGAATTTTTTCAATTTCACAGCTTGTTAAAAGTCTTGAAACCATGTGAGATGACATGAAAGTCGCAGAGGTAGTCCACAGTGCTTTCATATGCCCTGCCCAGATTCCTCAATTGCTGATTCTGCCTCCATATTTATTAATGAGTAATTTCCCATAATCATCTTCTCGGAAGATTATTTATAAAGTACTAAGTGATGTTGACCACCACTTGTCTCTCAGTTTGTTGGACAGTGTTGCTTGTCTACAGTGTCTCACATGTCAGCAGGGACCCCCACGGTGGCAGGTTTCAGTGGTGCTTCCAGACTGAAGCAGACGAGGAATAAAGACCTGGTGATCTACTCTGGGAAAACAAAACCCAAACCAGAAAGCCAGTGAAAATTTTATGGATAACTGTGGAACCTTGTCTGATCGCATGCTGGAAGATGAGCCCCTCCGGTTAGAGAGCATTCCAAATCAAACAGCCATGGTTTCGAGATTGGCGCAGAACCAGCCCATGTGTTGTTCTGTCGTACATGGGGACACTAGGAATCAGAGAAGATTTGACAACATTTGTTCACACGTCATATAGAAAACTGATAGAAAAAATGGAATTCATTATATTTTATGAAATCTCTTCCTATTTTGAGAGAGAATATAGAGTCTGTGTGTTTTTGGGATGTCAAAGTAAAGCTTGAAATGCCAAGTATAGATACTTACCTTTGGAATTCTCATTTTCCTCTTTCAGTGTACGGGATGACAGAATCCGAGTTGAAAGGATGGATGCCATCCATTTTGAATACAGCCACGCCTTCCAGGTGGTCACAGATTTTTATGCAAAAGATGCAGTTGACACCAAAGGTAAATATTTTCTGTACATTTCCCCATGCCTTCAAATTGGATTGAGTTAGATTTGGCTAAAGGTATGCTTTTGACTTTCAATCTAAGAAAAACCTGGTGCTTAGCTCGTTAGTAGAGATCATTGGTTCAGAAGATTTAAATTTCACGAAGGGGATATAAATTTGATTTCTGGCCAGAGCGCCTCATGTGCAGGTATCATTTCTCAATGGAGGGCTGTATGTTGCTTTGATACTGAGCAGGTGTCTGTGGAGCTTTGAGAATAAGATAGACTGCATTGCTTCTTGGTCTTTTGGCTGTGGTCGAGTATAGTATAAGATAGATGGGAAGAAAGGCTTGGAGGTCTCGTTTTGAATAGCAGTCAGTGGAAACCCCTTACACCAGAAGAGTAGAATTCATAACCCACTTGATGTAGGACCAGTTAGCGTTTTGTGTGGGTGTGTTAGTCCGGGTAGACTAGAGAAACAAATCCGTAGAAACTCTTATATGTATAAGACAGAGTTTTATATAAAGGGTAATTTTACATTAAGAAAGCATCCCAACCCAGTCCAGTCCAAGCCCATAAGTTCGATATTAGCCCATATGTCCAATACTGGCCTATAAAGTCCTCTTCAGACTCATGAAACACATGCAGTGACGTTGAATGCAGGATGATCACAGGCCAGTGGGTAGGAAGTCTTTGGGTCTAGTGGCGGTATAAGCATCTCAGTGCTGCCAGGGTTCTCCACGTAGCTTCTCCGCACCCAGAGCTGCATCAGGGTAGGACCATGAGGCTTCGCCTCAGGGATATCTCGCAGGAAGTCAGCCTTGTCAGTAGAGAGTCTCCCAGGGAGTGAGTAGAGAGAGAGAGAGAGGTGTTTCCTGCCTCCAAGGAGGAAATACCAAATTTCCCAGAATTCTCAGGAGAAGGCCATGCACACACAGAGACCTCATTGGCTATGATCTGATTGACAGACTAGACTCCACCCCTTTACTTTTAATCCTCTCAAGTCCCAAATTGACACCAGATTATGTAACTACCCCAGTGGGCTACATGGCAGCTAACAATCACAAGTCATTACTAATAAGTAACCAAAGAAGAGCTCTCTGTTCTTCCGTTCATCAGTCACATTACTGAAACATCTTCCTTTGTAAAGGTGATATTTTAGCAACTTGTTGGCATTGGCATCCAGTGGAATGTAAGGAAGAGCCGGTTACTCACCGACCTTCCCTTTTCCTTCTCTTCTTTTCTTCATAATTTTAGAGAATGCTTGAACAAATGATCTGTTGACGGCTAGCATTTTGAAAGGTTGCTTGCCAGGATTAAAATATTAGTGTCATGGTTTAATGAAGAAGCCATTATTTGTCTAGCTCATACTCCCACCAGCATGCATCAGTGTTTGACCTGGCCCATGACCCTCATTCCTGCTAGCCCGGCTAATGTGAAGACAACAAAAGGAGTACAGTAGTACACAGTGTGTTTGAAGGTGATAAATGCTCTGAAGGAAACAAGGCAGGGAAATAGGGTGATGAAGAAAGGCCTCCCTGCGAACTGTCCCCGAACAAAGATTTTAAGGGGGGAAAAACACATAGCTGCATGGAGAAACAGTGTTTCAGGCAGAGGGGAGTGTAAGTGCTGGATTTCAGAGTGTGCCTGGCATGTTCGAGGAACAAGGAGGAGGTTGTGTGCTGGAGCCAGGTGACTAAGGAGGAGAGTGTTGGGAGGACAGATGAAGAGGAGATGGGCAGCAGACTATATGGAGTCTTAGGGTTCACTGTAAGGACTTCAGCTTCTACTCTCAGTGAACTGGGATTTTGAAAAATTTTGAGAGGGCGACATGATCTGATGTACATTTCTTTTTTTTTTTTTAAACATTTTATTAGGGGCTCATACAACTGTTATCGCAATCCATATGCACATCAATTGTGTAAAGCACATTTGTACATCATTCTCAAAACATTTTCTCTCCACTTAAACCCCCGACATTAGGTCCTCATTTTTCCCCTCCCTCCCCGCTCCCCCCTCCCGCATGAGCCCTTGATAGTTTATAAATGGGTATTTTGTCATATCTTGCCCTGCCCGACGTCTCCCTTCACCCACTTTTCGGTTGTCTGTCCCCCAGGGAGGAGGTCACACACAGTTCCTTGTAATCGGTTCCCTCTTTCCTACCCATTCTCCCTTTACCCTCCCTGTTTCGCCACTCACACCACTGGTCCTGTAGGGCTCATCCGCCCTGGATTCCCTGTATTTTCAGTTCCTATCTGTACCAGTGTACTGATGTACATTTCTTAAGGATCCTTATGCTTGCTCTGGTCAGAGTATTTTGTCAGGGGTTAAGGATGAACGAGGGAGAAAAGATGGAAAGCTATTCATTTTCTAAATTAGAATAACTGTTAAATACATTTTCTTCAATTTCAAATTTGTTTTAATGATGAGGAATAATTTTAATGATGGTTTGCGCCTTTTTTCAGGGTCTCAATTTTTTTCTGGCATCATGAATCTGGAAAAGCCGGTGATTGGCTCTTTGGCTGCCATAATCAGATACCTCAAAGAATTTAACTTAGAAAAAATGCTCTCCAAGCCCAAGTAAGTCAGTTCTCAAAAAAATTAATATAAATGAATGAATGAATGAGTTACGTAAGAAGACTTCTTAAATTGAGTTTGGAAACTACTGTAACTCAGAAAAGTTTACCTGCTGTTGATGGAACACTCATTTGGGGGCATGAACAAAGTATTTGGTAGTGTTCCTAAAGGATTTTAAAAGCATCGATTAATTCAATAATATTGATAAACTCTTCAGAATCTTGTCAAGTACATTGTATTAATGGTAGCTATTTGGTGTGTTATATCTTTGACTACAGTTCTGTGCTTTTTACTAACTGTATAAAGAAGTAGTTTAAAATCATTTGTGGAATTTTGTCACCTTATTTTTGGTTTCACTTCTTGTATGATAGAACCGGAAGCTGGAGTTAAGGGGTTAGTGGCTAAAAACACAGGTTATTAAAACACAGGTTTTGAAAGTATTTAGCTTTGTAGATATTCTAAGGTTTACAGTAGACATTATGAAAAAAATACTGGTTTACTATCAAGCAGAATAATTTTTAAAAGGAAGTGGATATTTTTCTTGCTTTTAAAATTTTTACCTTCTTAGCCCCTTTCCTTGACTTGTTGACTCTGTCCTGAGTCTAGGGTGCCCTGGGGCCAGAATGGGTAAGCGATTGGCTGCTCACCAAAAGGTTGGTGGTTCACACCCTCCCAGCAGTCCCTTGGGAGAAAGACCTGGTTATCTGCTTCCATAAAGTTTGCAGCCAAGAAAACCATGGACTAGTTCTCTTTTCTCAAATAGGGTCGCTGTGAGTTTGAGTTTACTCACTATCACCCAAGAACACCGGCTACCTATTGGTTCTGCATAGTAAGCTACTTCCCATTTTACATAAGTGAGTGGGCAGACAGGAGCTGGTTCAGTGAAATGGCAGAATATGAACTGGGGAGCAGAGATGTTGCCAGAGCTAGGTTGTTGAGGAGAAACAAAAGGCAGGCAAGCACGAGGGATCTTTTTAATAAGTCATTTGAAAACCTTTTTATTGTAAGCGACAGTGCAAATTCGTTTTCCATTCAACAACTCATGCACATTTTGTTTTACGACCTCCCTGGCATGGAACAGCGCTTCTTCCTCTGCTGTGTTTCCTGTTTCTTTGACCCTTTTTCTTGCCCCTTTTTCCTTTCTGAGCCCTGTCCGGGGTCAGATGCTCTGCTTTAGCTCTCACGTGGTTGGTTGCTCTAAAGGCACGCCCACCGTCCTGAAATTATTATTCATGTGGCTGAGTGATGATCCCTGCGGAGGATTTCCATTCCAGATCTGAGGGGTGTCTGAGGCCATAGCCTCAGGGGTTCTGCCAATCTTAACCTACTGTACCTACTGTTTTTCATTATGATTTTTAGTTTTGTTCCATATGTGTCTCATAGTCTATCGAGGACCTTCTATTGTAACCCCAATCAGAGTGGTTGGTAGTGGCAGCTGGGCACCATCTAGTGCTTCTGGTTTTAGGGTAGTAGAGGCTGAGGTTCCTGGGGGCTACTAATCCTTATCTATTTTAATATGTCGGAGCAATTTAATTTAAAACATTGAGGCCTGGCCTTATATCTCATTGAATTGTACCTTTAGCTCCAATAACAGGAGCCTTACTATAGACATGGGTCTGTATTATAGGTTCTCAAGCTTATTTGGCCTACCACCCCCTTTTCAGAAGAAAAATTACATAGCACCCCCTGACAATTACTTTTTTTTGAACTATAGCCCATAACCTAGCATATAGTATAGATGTTTGCTTTGGCAGCTCCCCTTTGTCCTTCCAATGTCCCCTGAAGGGGCTTTATTGTCTGTTTTGGGAAACACTGGTCTGTATGTTTGATTGTGTTGGATCCTCACAAGGAGGAGAAAACCAGCTACCCAACCAGTTGATTGTTTATCACTTGGACCCGCTAACTCTGATGTGGAGTTCATGAATAATAGCTGGCTTGTGAAGATTTGTATTTTCTGCCTGCTCCTACCCCATCAGCAAAAGAAGTACTGATATTTAAATAAGCAACAAGCTCCCCCCCCCAACCCTTAAATGAGATTCTGATGTGTTTAGATGAATTTGGGCCTCAAAAGATGATTGTCTTTCTCTTACTAACTCAAAGTAAAACTAATACTCAACAGAAAAACATACATGTATATATGTTGACAAGTTTATAAATATTTATGTATATGCACATATGCATATACAAGTGCATATATGCGCATATACATATATGGGATCACTGAACTGACGCTTCTAGTGCCTGTTTTAGGTACCATTGAGTCAGTTCCAGCTCCGCGACCCTGTGTACAACAGGACAACGCACTGCCAGGTCCTCACCCTCCTCCTCTGTCCCCTTGAGTGGATTGTTAGTCTCTGTGTCCATCTTCTCATCAAGGCCCGTCCTCTTCTTCAAACGCATCCATTCTTCTTCCTTCTTCCTTCTTCGTTGTTCAACTTTCACATGCTCACGAGCCAATGGAAAACACCATGGCTTGGGTCAGACACACGTAAGTCCTTTCTACCACTTCAAAGAGGCCTATGCAACAGATTTTGTACCAATTGAATATGTCATTTAATTTCTTGACTTGTTGCTTCCTTGAAGGTTAATTGTGGATCCAAGTAAAATGAGATCCTTGACAGCTTCAGTATTTTCTCTTTATTATGATGTGTGTCTATGAGTCTAATTGTGAGTATTTTTATTTTCTTTACATTTAGTTATAATCCATAATGAAGACCTGTAGTCTTTGAGCTTCATCAATGTTGGTACCTTAGTATGTTTCTAGTGTATAATGCCATTCCAAAGAGCTTCAGCCCTAATGTGTGGCCCCCGTGTTTTATATATTTTAAGTGTTCAACATATGCCCAGCACCTAGTTGGCAGTGGGTAAATGTGGAAAGTTATGGATAAATGAACACCAAAAAAAAAAGAAGAGGAATTTTTTATCCTGTGAAGTAGACTTGATTTTTTTTTAAGGTGGTCAAAATATCTTTGTGAGACAAGGTCATGAATATAGATAGTGATCTAACTGGTACCATCACCTTGCTTAAAAATGAAATGTGAATGATAATGCATGTACTGCTGTTGTACAAACAGACCCTTAAGATGAATCTGAAGTTTAATTTCACCCTCCTCCCTCGATTTAGATGAAGACTGAATGTTTTCCTCTGAAGATTAGGAGCAAGAGAAGAAGGTCTTTCCTGGCCATTTCTACTCGGTTTTGTACTGAGAGCTCTACCATGAGCAATTAGGCAAGAACATGAAATAAAAGGCATTCAGATCAGAAAGGAAGAAGTAAAACTGTCTCTAGTCACAGATGACCTGATGTTGTGTAAGAGTCAAATGTCACCCGCAACGATTGTAAGAAAGAAAGGAGGGAGCACGATAGCATCCCTGTAGACACGTGCATGCCAGAACGGCATGCCCGCAAATGAATAACAACCGTGATTATTTCAAAAGGAGCAAAAAGATACTAAGAACTTTATACTAGATGTGAAAATCACAAAACAAATCAAAACAAAATCCATTGCATCACGTTGATTTGGACCTGTAGTGACCCGATATAAGGTTCCCGAGGCTATAAATCTTTATGGGAGCCTCCTCTTTCTTCCAAGGAGCGACTGGTAGGTTTGAACTAGTGACCTTTCATTGACCAGTCCAGTGTTGACTCAGGCTTGCCACCAGGGCTTACTAGCTGTGAAAGAACAACATAAAAATGGGATGTAGGAAACCTCTGAAATGAGGTGATTGCATTTAACAATGAAAGAAAAGATAATTTTAGGAATGAAGAGCAAACCAGGAGGAATCCACAAGTCAATAAACGTGACACCTGATGCTGCAAGGAGATGGCCTTTTCAATGCAGAAAAGAATTAGCATAGTAGGCCCCAGACTGAGTTCTCTTGCCTGTCACCTGGAAATTTAGATTTGGGGATCACCATTATGTCATAGGATGATTCTGTATGTCAATTTTTAAAATTTGTTTAAACAGCATGGTTTATTCTCAATACCTACTTTCTTCCAGGAGCTAGAATTTTGGCACATACCTTGCTACCAGCACCATAAAGCCCTGGGCACAACATCTCTAATATGCTTTCCTGGTGGGTGATAGTTCACACATGTGGCCACAGCTTGTTGCTAGGATTGGAATCTTGCAGCTCGCTTTCTTTGGACCGTGCCACATGGGTCTTCACTCTCTTTTCTGATTTTGTTCGGTGTCTTTTCCTGGCCGTCAATGATAGCTGGGAGTCAGACGAATGGAGGACATGTAGAATGCTGCTGCTTGGGTTCCAGGTCACGCGCGTCCTGGTTTCTTCCAAACAAAGTGTTGCAGCATTTCTCAGCCGTCAGGGTGGAGTACTCTTGTCTTACTCTTGTTAAGGTGCCTTCAGCAAAGGTCCAATCAAAACAGTGACTTCTGAGGGGATCTGTTGGGCCAGGTCCATGCAAAGCAGGGAGGTCAGCTTAGGAGTTATATTGACTTTTTTTTTTATCGCAAAGGGACCATCATTACACATTTTCTTGATTGACACCAACCAATCGTTGGGGCGTACTAGGAAGAACTGTTAAGAACATTGAGAACTGCATTGGTGACGGAAAGGCCGGGAGTGCTGTGCTGAGGACATTTTTTCCATCGACAACCGTGTACCTGCTCCGTCTTCTAAGGGGAGCAAGGGTTCCTTAGGAGAATTTCCCTGACAAACCATCCTCCATCCATCCTGTAACCCTGGACTGGCTCCATCAGATTCCTTTTTGTCCTCTGAACTCAAAGGACATTGAAAAGGAGCATGGTTTACATCCTTGGAGGCTGCCTAACATGCCATTTTGATGTGGTGTAAACCAAAGAGCAGAGATCTCTTCAGGGAAGAAGAGGTGGAGAGATGGAAACAGTGCCTTCAGAAGGATGCAGACCCAGAGGGAGGAGATGCTGAGAAACAATAGCTTTCCACTTAGATATTTTTGTTTATTAAAAAGGCCTAGGGTTTTGTAGTCCTGCTTATTGATGACCCTTGTGTGTGAGTCCTGTG